TCTTATTTTAAAGATTATTAGTTAGAAAAGCTTTTATTATCTTTTATATCGTCTTAATAATAGAACTTTATTATTAATACTTAATATAATTCTCGAGTTTATTTTTTATAATTATTATAATTTCTTAAATAAATTTTTAAAATAAAGCTTTCGAAATTAATAGCTTAGTTGATTTTTAAAAGTATTTAATTTTATAAAGAATAATAGCTAGTAAATTATAATTAGAAAGATAATTAGAAATATATATAAAATTAAACTTACTATCTAGATAATATTTATAAAATTTTCTTATTTTAAATATATAATTAGCGATACGTTTTCTTTTATCTATATTCTTTTTATTTATAATAAATTTTCTAAAAGTTTTATTACTCGATTTTCTAATTACTTTTATTATTAATAATATTTAAAATACTCTTTTATCTATTATAGCCGCCGCGAATAATCTAATAGATTTTCTCTTTCTAAATTTCTTATTATATATATTATATATTTATTTTTAATAATTTACTTATAAATAAACGTTCTTTAATTATTACGATTTTTATATTTTTATTTTAGATATTATTAAAATTTCTATCTTTATAAATAATATCTCGATTTTAAAAGATAGTTTAATCTTAAAATAGAATTATATTATTATCGCTAGATATATTATTATTAAATATATATATTAACTCTTTATTCTCTTTAATAATATATTCTTAAATTTATTTAATTTAGAAAATTAGATAATTAAAATAATAATTAGAAAAAAGAAGATTATATTTAAATTCTTTCTTCTTCTTCTAATTATACTAATTACTTATATATTAAAATTAATAAATTTATATAAATTTATTATAAAACTTATTACTAGATTATAATATTATTATTTTTATTATATATTAAAAGTTTTTAATTTTTAATTTCTTTTATAATAAAGTCTATCTCTTCTTTTTTTAATATAATTAAATTTATTAGTAAACTATTATCTAAATCTACTAGCTAATTACTTCTAAAATTTTATTAATTACTTCTAGAATTTTCTAATTAATCGCTTTTAGAATTTTCTAATTAATTTAATATTTCTTTATTATTAAGAAATTAAATAGCTAATTAAAAATTTATTAATAAAAATTCTTAATTAAAAGTATTTATATTTATTATTATATTTTTTTTAAACGTAAGTATAGAATAAATAGTATTCTAAAAGTAAGCGATTTAATTAATATTCTAATTATCTTTTTAATTATTCTTTAAAAGAGAAAATATATATAATAAATTAAAAGTGTAAAATAAAATCTTAAAAAGATAAATTTATTTTATAGAATTTTTAAATTTAGAGTCTTAGAAGCTTAAAATAGATATCTATTATTATATAAAAGCTATAAAAAATCTATTATTAATAATAATTCTTAAAGACTTTAATTAGATTATTAAATTTAAAAAAATTTAATTAAAATTCGACTTTATAATATTAAAAATTAGCGTTAAATTTCTTTATAAATAAGAATTTAAAAAAATACGAAAACGCGCTAGTAAACTAGCCTATTTTTTAATTAATATATTCTTAAATCTTTTCATATTTTAATTTTTTCTAATACTTTTTCTAATTATATTATCTTCTATAATAATATAATTCTATTTAAATTTTTTTATTATTTTTATTATAATATTAATATACTTTTTATAATATATTCTTTAATATTTTATAATAAGCTTTTTATATAAAAATTATTATTATAATTATCTTAAATAAGAATTTAATTAAATAAGTAAATTTATATACTTTCTATTATTTCTTAATATTATAAAAATTAATATTATTAATAAAGATAATAACTTTAATTCGCTCTATTATATTATTTTTAAAGAAATAAAAATATTTTAAAAGCTTAAATAATAGTAAGATATAAAAAATAGTAGATAAATATTTTAAAAATAAGAATATAATAAAATCGCGCTAATATTTAATAAGTTTAAATATATATAAATTATTAAAAGTAATCTTAAGAAAATAAAATAATATAAATATAATAGCGAAATAAATAGCTAAAAAAAGACTTCTAGCTTTCTTAAAATATTAAAAAATTATTTTTAAAAAAAAGAAGAAAATAAAAGAGAGGATTATCGAATATATTATATATAATTAATATACTTATTATAAATTTTAATTATTATTATAATTATTCTAATATCTTTTTAATATTATAATTAATATTAGTATATTTAAAAGAATAAGATAGAATTAAATTTTAAAATTTTAAATTTATATATATAGCTAATTTTAAATTTATATATATAGCTAATTATTAATTTTTATTCGCTACGCTCTTTAATTAGATTAATTAATTTATTATAAATAAATAAATTAATATCTATAATTATTAAAATCTCGCTCTTTTATATCTTTCTTATTAAAAAAATAGATATATATTATTAATATATAGAATTACTTTCTTATTTTCTATTAAAATTTTAAGATTTTTTTAAGCTTTAAAGCGCTATTTATACTTTTCGAATTTTAAAAATTTTAAAATTTAATTTTATAATTATTAAAGCGTAAGAAATTTAAATATCGCTTATTAAAGTTTATTTAATAGTCGAATAGCTTTAATTAGATATATATTATTTAATTTTAAAATAACTTTTTTATTTTCTATTAAAATTTTAAGATTTCTTTTTTTAAATTATAAAACGAAATATAGACTTTTAGATAAAAAAAGAATTATTAGATTTAGTTTTATAATTATTAAAGTGTAAGGAATTTAAATATCGTTTATTAAAGTTTACTTATTAAAGATCGCTTATCTACTTACTCGATAGCTCTAATTTATAAATCTTTACTCGTTTATATATAAAATAACTATTTTATTTTCTATCAAAATTTTAAAATTATTTTTTTAAATTATAAAGCGAAGATTACGCTTTATAATAGCGTAAAAATCTTAAAATTTAATCTTATAATTATTAAAGAGTAAGAATCTTAAATATTATTTATTAAAGTTCGCTTATTAAATTTAATAATAGCTCTAATTAAAAAATAGATATATATTATTTTCTATTAAAAAATTTTAATCTTTTTTTTAAATTATAGAACGTAGTTTACGCTTTTAAATAGAGAAATAATTATCAAATTTTATTTTATAAATATTTAAAGATAAGGAATTTAATTATTAAATTTACTCGATAGCTCTAATTAAAAAAAAAAATTATAAATTTAATTTATAAATCTTTACTCGTATTATTATTACATATTTACGATATATTATATATTAGTATATATAATAGAATAAGATAGAATTAAACTAGAAAATCTTAAATTTATATATATAGTTAAATATTAATTTATTAGATCTACGCTTTTTAATTAGATATCGCGGGTAAATAAATTAATATTCGTAATTATTAAAAAAATAGATATATATTATTAATATATAGAAAAACTTTTTTATTTTCTATTAACTTTTCGAGATTTTAAATTTTAAATTTTAGAGCGTAGTCTACGCTTTTCGAATTTTTAAGAATTTTAAAATTTAGTCTTATAATTATTAAAGCGTAAGAAATTCAAATATCGCTTATTAGAGTTCGCTCGATAGCCGAACAGCCCTAATTAAAAAAAAAAAAAAAAAAAAAAAATATTATAAAAAAACCTTTTTTTTTTTTTTAAAATTTTAAAAAATTTTTTTTTTAAAAAAAAAAAAAAAAAAAAATTTTAAAAAAAAAAAAAAAAAAAAAAAAAAATTATAAAAATAAAAAAAAAAAAAAAAAAAAAAAAAAAAAAAAAAAAAAAAAAATAAAAAAAAAAAAAAAAAAAAAAAAAAAAAAAAAAAAAAAAAAAAAAAAAAAAAAAAAAAATAAATAAAAAAAAAAAAAAATAAAAAAAAAAAATTTATCTTTTTTTTTTAAAATTAAAAAAAATTAATATAAAAATTAAAAAAAAAAAAAAAAAAAAAAAATAAAAAAAAAAAAAAATAAAAAAAAAAAAAAAAAAAAAAAAAATAAAAAAAAAAAGGGGTATAGGGGGTGAGAAGAGAGAATAACAAGGACCTCACATTACTGACCTCATGGACGGTTGGGGGAAAATTGTTAGGGAAAAAAAAAAAAAAAAAAACCCCCCTAATTTTCAAAAAATCTTTAAAAAAAAAAAAAAAAAAAAAAAAAAAAAAAAAACACAACCCCACCCAACCCCCCCCTTCAGCCCAGCCCCCAAAACCAAAAAAAAACCCCCAACCCTTCCGCTTCTTTGACCTGCCATCCGAATTACGCTTCAAAATCCTAGGCTTCGTCCTCGTGACAGACCAAATCGTTGACCTCAACCCCAAAAACTATGGCGCCGCCCGTCACCGCATGAATGTCTTCCTCACCTCCCACCGCCTGCACGAAGAGTCCTACCCCGTCTATTACGGCGGCCACACCTTCCGCATCTTCCCCACCAATCACCGCTTCTTCGGGCATAAAGTACGACCTCTGGTTGCGAGATTACCGGCACGATATCGTGCAGCCTTGGTGTCTTTGGAATTGCGGCTGGGACCAGGCTGGAGTAATCCGCCTCGGTCGTGGCGGGTGGACGACCGCCTGGGTCTGGAGGAAATGGAAGCAGTGAGGACTGTGAAGGTCTTTGTGGAGTGCGATCCGAGTCATGATATTTTCAACGGCTTTAGGATCGACAGGGACTTTTTTACGGGCTTCTCTGGGAGTCTTCTTGGAGATGTGCTGCAGCGTCTTCCGTCCGTCATACGGGTTGAACTGGATGGGTGGCCGTCTGTGAAAAGAGAGGGCCCGCTTGTAAAGAGGCTGCTTGAAGTGGCGAGAAATGCTGGAGTCAGGGTTCCAGAGGTTGGTGGGAGAGGAGAGGATGATGGGGATCAAGACTTCCCGATTTGTAGAGCACGGAGAAGATTCAATTACCCTAGAGAATTGGATTGACTGAAGATGATGCTATGCTATACACAATGGTCCAGGCGCCGTCGCTATCTATGATGTAAATCTATGGCATTTAAAATGTGGATGTTGCCTCATAGTTCCTCGTCCACATCCATGCTTCCAGTCTGGTGCCCATCCTGATGGCCGTTCGCTCCTTTGGTCTTTGCTACGGAAGCTTCTTTGTCTATCATTTGCCTTGACACTGACACGATGTTGTCTTCGATCAGTTGTTGACCAACGTCTTCCAGATCTGTGAACAATTTAGCATGCAGGCACCATCGTCAACGAGGAAATCCAACGTACGCTTCTTCGGGTCAACCTTGCCGACATATCTCGTCTTCAATTGATCCTTCGTAAGCTCGGTCTCCTCCTTCACACGCTTCTCGTAGCCCTCCGCAAGCCCGACAAGCCTCTTCAGTTTGTCTTGGTTCTTTCCACCCTCTTCCCGAAAGTCGTCCATCTGTAATGCTTCTGTCCAGACATGCTTGTGCAAGTTCATCAACATATTCTCCTCAAGACCCGTCTTTCTGTAATTGATACCTATGCTGTAGTAATGTCTATTCAGACCGTGGATGAGCGCTTGTATTGATGGCTTGTTCAAGTGACCGAGATTTGATGTCGTTTGCCGGGGCTCGTGGCCCATCATGAGGGTTTGGGGGTTGATTAATCGAAAAGCATCGATGACAACTTTGCCTTTGACTGATTGAATGGGATCGACAACTACTGCTACAGCACGCGGAGTGAGCTGCTCGAAAGACTGTTGCGTGTTGATATCGACCGAAGATAGCCAGCAGCCAAATCCAGGATGTGAATGGTACCATCCCACGACAGTCTCTGGTCTGCATCCTGGTCAGCCTGGTAACTCTGAGAATATGCCCGAATCCACATGCCTGCCTGTCTGCCGTAGCATATCCATCATCTTAGTCTGAAATACAGGGTCCACAGCTTCAACGCTGACACCTGTACCACTCTGGGGCATAGCAAAGACGTCAACGACGCGCACAGTATAGTCATCCACGAATTCGCCCAACATCAACCCCATGACTTCCATGGGTACGCCGGCTCGGCCATGCCTTAACATTTTCAGGAGAGCTAAGGAGGATATGTAGACTGTCTCCGAATTATCGACGAGGTTGGAGTCCTTGACCGGCAACACAAGTCAGTACGTTGCTATCATAGCTTATACGCCCAAGGAGTACGTGAAGCAAGATGCTCGATGGTCCCCTCCGACTTGGGCTCACTTACGGCACCTGGAGGCGCTGAACTGCCACCCATCATACTCCCTCGCATCAAGCTGTTGAGGCGGTCCATCGCGAACTTCTTCTAAGATATAGATTGATGTTTCTGTGTGACGAGATTTGGCGTAATTTGCTCCTTTTTGAAGTGCTGTATATCGTATTCGTTCGTGATGGAGTAGGCATTGTTGCGCGCTCAATCACTTCTCGGAGCTCCGCAAAATACGCTAGTAATGCTCTACTAGTCCCAAAGGGAAATGACCAACCACCGACTTTCCGTCAGCCCTACCCTTAGTCTCATGCTCGCTTTCACTGCTGGACTTTCTTCCTCCTCCATGTATAATTATCACAGCACTACAACGACTCCTTCTTGACACACCAAACCTGCGGCAAGGGAACTATCAGCCATGACATCTTTTGCCCCCGTGGACGTGCAGCTCACGGCGCCAACTGGTGCCGACAAGAAGACCGTTGCGTACTTCTACGATTCGGACGTGGGCAACTATGCCTATGTTGCGGGGCATCCCATGAAACCGCACCGAATTCGAATGGCTCACAGCCTGATTATGAACTATGGTCTATACAAAAAGATGGAGATCTATGTAAGTCTTAAACCGCTCTGCAATCTGCACCTTCATTTTATTCCCCTCTGTCTGTCAGAAACCTGCGGGGGCACTGCGCCGATGTTCCTTCTCCATCATGAGTGCTGGTGTGATTTCCACTATCTACAGGTTGCTGACATGCTTCACAGCGCGCCAAACCGGCTTCAAATCTCGAAATGACTCAATTCCACACGGATGAGTACGTCGAATTCCTTAAGAAAGTGACGCCAGATAATATGGAAGCATATCAAAAAGAGCAAGGCCGTTTCAACGTGGGAGACGACTGCCCAGTCTTTGACGGTCTCTTCGAGTTTTGCGGCATCAGCGCAGGCGGCAGCATGGAGGGTGCTGCAAGGTTGAATCGCGGCAAATGCGATGTTGCGGTCAACTGGGCAGGCGGACTCCATCACGCAAAGAAGAGCGAAGCCAGTGGCTTCTGCTATATAAATGGTATGAAGTTACGTCCTCATGGACTGGGCCCAAGGCTGACTTCTGTAACTCAGACATCGTTCTTGGTATTCTCGAACTTCTCCGCTACAACCAGCGCGTACTTTACATCGATATCGACGTGCATCATGGTGACGGGGTTGAAGAAGCCTTCTACACGACGGATCGAGTCATGACCGTCTCATTCCACAAGTATGGTGAATACTTTCCCGGTACAGGCGAGCTCCGAGACATTGGTGTCGGCCAAGGAAAGAACTACTCCGTCAATTTTCCTTTACGAGACGGTATCGACGATAAATCTTACAAAGCCATCTTCGAGCCTGTCATCAAGAATGTTATGGAGTATTACCGACCAGAGGCTATCGTGCTACAATGCGGGGGTGACAGTCTGTCAGGGGACCGTCTCGGGTGCTTCAACCTCAGCATGGCAGGGCACGCGAACTGCGTCAATTACGTGAAGAGTTTTAATCTCCCGGTTCTGGTTCTTGGTGGAGGTGGTTACACAATGAGGAATGTCTCCCGTACGTGGGCCTATGAGACAGGTCTCCTTGTGGGGCAGAAGATGGGGCCTGAGTTGCCGTACAATGACTATTACGAGGTAAACAATCGAGACTATGGACTTTTTGATCTTCTACTGATGGCCACCTTAGTATTATGCACCTGATTACGAACTGGACGTCAAGCCGTCGAACATGGACAATGCAAACTCCATGGAATACCTCCAGAAGATCAAAGTTCAGGTCATCGAGAATCTCAAACGCACCACCTTCGCACCTTCCGTTCAAATGACCGACGTGCCACGTGATCCGGAGGGTATGAATGATGAAGCTGACGCTGAGCTTGACGATCTCGACGAGGATGAGAATCCTGACTCCAGATATACCAAACGCCGATGGGATAAATACATCGAGAAGGACGGCGAGCTCAGCGATAGCGAAGATGAAGACGAGAATGAAGCCAACGGCGTCCGAAGACAGCCCAATGCAACTAAAAGACGGCGAAATATGATGGACTACCAAAATCCGATGGCCGCAGCTGATGACAAGGACATCAGCGGCGTCGTTTCTGCACGAAGTGGTCGCAGTCGCATCGGCAGTGCGAATGGAGTGGGCTCACATACCGCATCAGATGCAGAAGGACCTCGTAGTGATGAGAGCGAAGCCGAAACCTTCGATGGACCACGGGAAGATTCTCTGTCCTCAGGCGACCGGGAAGAAGACGAAGACATCGATATGGTTGATGAGCCAATAGCCAATGGGACTGGACCAGCAGCAGGACCACAAGAAGCGACTCCTCCAGACTCACCGCCACCCGTCGCTGCCAATCCTACCGTCCCGGCGCATGTAGTTGACGACACAGGCAATGACGCAATGGATGAAGGTGATACCCTCGACGACCCCGAGTTTGCGAAGGAGGAAGGCCACGATGAGCGCGAGAAGGAGGATGTCACGGCTGAAAAGGCAACAGAGGTCGTGGAGCGCTCGGAGCAGTGATGAAATCAATCATCCTAGGCATTGCGCATGGAGTTAGGGTGTTTAGAGCATCAGCGGGCTTGGCGCATGGAGTGGGGACGACAGGTGTATGCATCTATGATACCACACGTTGTTTTGAATCCGTCTCTGAGCGAGAGAGAGCCATGTCCGTAGCTCTAGATTTGGGAGTTCATTGGGAACGGATCTAGCTCATTTTCTTTGTACATAAAACAACTTTTTCAACTTCTGGGTCACTGATACTGATCTGAACTTGTCTACCTCAACAGTCGCCAAGCATAATCCGAATACCTCGTATGAGGAAAAGTATCAAAAATCGTTGCCTCAAAACGGTAACATGAGCAAAGAAGACAAAAGAAACAACAAAAAGAGTGCGTGTTTCCCATTGTCTTTGAAGCATCGGGCTCCTGGTCGGGATTCAAGAGATGCGCCAGTGAGGAGCAGATCTGGATTGTCACAGGTGAGGAGAGCATGACAACTCTCTTGCTTCAACAAACTTCGACATTGCTGACATTCTTGACCAACACCGACGATAAATCACTGCAACCTTCTGTTTGCAATGCTGCGGCATCTCGGGAAGGGGAACTTGAGAGCGATGTCGTGATATAGGCATCAAGCCCAGACTATTTGGCGTTGGAAAGCATTTGGGTCTCTGGAAGTCTGGGAAACACCTTCATGCCCAAATGGACCGATAACCAGCCAGGAATCGATTTGAACCGCCTATCTCAAGCAAACAGAGCGGAGTCTGATCGAGTTCAAATCTTACAGTCGATGACAACCGTTTGGGGCCCCGAGCACGAAATTTGTGGACTCTTAACGTATAGGTACTAGAAAAGACAATGTCTGTTGGGGTGAGGCCACCTGAATGTGTCAAAACCTGCAAGAGGTCCTGATGAAGAGCGGTAATGAAACGGAACCTCGTGAAGTTGTCGCTGAATTTTCTACGATAGTGGATTGAGAGCCAGTCCAGCAGTCGGGGTTTATCGTAGAAGCATGGCTTTTGCACTGAATGGTACGCTGGGAAAGTGTAGATATTAACTCCAGCAACGGTAAGATTGGTTTATCGGAAACACCACAAATCCGCACAAGCATACAATTACCACATCGTCTCATTGCACGTCTACCCTCCGCTGTGTCACAAAACGTCATTCGCCGCTTTGCTCTAGCAGATTCTGATCCTCAGTGTTGTCTATCTAGACCCCCGTAAAGCTCGCCCACGACAGGCGCCGTCACCTCGAAACTTGTGAAACAGCAATGTCCGACGCCGTCCTTCGTGCTTACTACACCCCACATCAAGGGTTTATCGGCGGCGTCATCGTCCTCAGTCGGGTGACATGCAGCACTGATGGCGGCACTGCAACTGCCGGCAAGTGGAATCCCGGGTTTGTATCTTCTGAAGCCGACCATAATTCCGAGGAGGACGACAATGGCGCCGAGTATGATGCCGTTGATGATGGCTATGCATGAGTAGCCGACTGTTGAGTAGGAGGCACCGTTGTTCTTCTTGACCGCCGGCATAAAAAAAAGCCACTCGCGCCAGAAACAGGCTTTGTGTAACTAGCCAATGCAGCGTACCAGAGATGATTAAAAGGGGTACACCATATCTGTATGGTAGCTGCAAACGGTGTGTGGAACGTTGGAGGCCGCTGGGACTCGTCACGCGAAGAGGTTTGCGATTGTGGGCATATTGATTCCATTCGTTGGCGAGAAACATACAAGTGAAGAGGCTGTTGTATGCGACGAACAAGAAAGGCAACATCAATTGAGGGGAGTTAGTGACAAGAATTGTGTAGAGAAGTTCACTCGAACCGGGAAAGCTCAAGGACATCATTGTTGATTCTGAGGTGACAGTGCCATAACCCATCTGCCATAGATAAGTCAAGCTTGGCACACTTGGCAGGATTGGGCTGGGCCAATTAAAATGCCAGGGCTTTAGTCCGAGCAAACAGCTGGCAGCTATTAGCAAATAGATGCAACTGAAGAAAGGTGAGCGGACAGATCATCGAAAGAGGGTTGCAAGGTATGGGTGTTGAAAGGGGAGGAGAAAATGCGCGAAGAACCTTCTATCACCCACAGAATGTTGCAGGTTAGCCATCGCTTCCAGCTGGCACATGATAGTCACTGATGCCGCAGACCCTTCCACTTCATCGGGGTGTTTCCCCACTTCTTTCCTGAAAATCCCCTTTTCCCTGCCAAGCACACGGCTTCTGTAGCAGGGTCCGCCCTGCGCAAAAAAGATTCCAACGCGTCACCGAGTGTCACCAAAGGCTGACATCCCTGGAGCCGCAGTGTCAAGAGCATGTATAAGATCTTGGCTAAGTTGCAGCATATGACGATACCCATGATGATTATGCTGAATTGGACCTGACAGCGCTCTTCAATACGCTCGCTGAAGCAGTATTGAACGTGGTACGTATTTCCCTCATAACCAGAAACTTTCCAGCTTGCTGCATGCTGCAGGAGGTAAATTATATTTCTCTCGTTTTGCTGATATGGATTGTAGGATCCATTCATATTGCACTCCATAACGGAAAAAGGAATTTGAAACGAATCTAATTGGCACGCTAGCGTTGATATCGAGGGATATAACTAGCAGGTCTCCATGAGCCGACACAAACGTCTGGGTGTATGCTTTGATACACGCTTCATTGTCCAAATTTTCTCAGTCCAGTGCGTTTCAAGAATCATGTAGAGTATATTTGGAAAGAGGCTCCATGCTGTCTTTATTCACGGTAATAGACCAATTGTGAACAGTACCATCGATCAACTCCGGTGAAGCTGCAAGCGCTGCGTATTCTTGCGATGCCAAAGTCGAGAAAACGGCGCTGTTGTACAACAGATGAAATGGTGCACCGGAGATTGCAAAAATAAGCCAGAGGAGAGCCTTTTTTCGAGAGATCCTTATCAGATTCCGTACACTAGGAACGCCAATATCAAGCCATATCCTTTGAGCATTCGCTTTGTCAACCTCTTTGCGAGTAGGCGAAGCGAGGCATTGCATGCAGTAATTACTCGCACCTGAAAGTAGTGTGCTTAAGACATTTACGGCCATATGATGCCATAGACTCAGCTCCTTGGTCCTTCTGCAACTTCCTTCTTGAAAAGTTCCAAGTCCCCCAGCCACGGGGTATGTGCTGAATGCAACCGCAGTCAACACAACGTTGACTATCAATACAGTCCCCGCGGTCGCGGCGCAAAGGGTGACTCCCATACGCCAGCCCTAAAATTATCTTGGTTTTCGGTGCTCTTCCTCGCGAAAGTCGCCAAGAGAGCCGTCATTGACTGCATCAGCCTTGGGATCGGCCAATCTAACCAAGGGGGTACTGCAAGACTGAAGTGAAACAGCATCAGGGTCCAGCACCGGTGGACTTAGCCTGGACAAGAATGTGTTAGTGAAGCCGAAGCTCAAAGGGGTTGACTTACATATTGAAGTCTATCATTTCATGGTCATCTGCCACTGACTCGCCAGCAATATTGTGGTAGGCGTGAGAATTGCCCTGGGGCCATCGAGAGTGCCTCGCGCCTGGAAGTTTGGACATCTTGGTTGCAAGGATTCTCGAGACCAGCCTCCCAAAGATCGGAAACCGTGGACTTAAGGACTCGACTGCACAGGGACGCTAGCTTTACACGCCCCGACATCCTCTGTTTTCGTTGTGCATGGCTTGTGAAACTTGGCTACAGCCTCCTAGATGTGATACAATCTTCACTGGTAGCCACAGCTATATTCGGGATGTCGAATAAGTCGTTGTTATTAAGGACCCATAGGTTTATAGTTTTTTATTTTTTAGAGATTTAACTTACTATTTTTGTAGTTGTTTATTTTGTGTTTTTTATTTTAATTTATAGTGGTGTCCCAACAGAGTGGTTGCGACAGCCATTCGGGCTGAACAGAACTCCCGCACCTCGGTCAAAGACAACCGATCGGGGCTCAGCATATACTGCTTCTAAGCTGCGGGCATGCGATATTCGGAGGATCAAATTATTCTGTCATCGACATCTTGGTAAGAGTGAGAGCCGCGCTGGAAATATCGAGATCGCCTTATGTCTGAAAGACTCAACATCGCCGTTGCCAAAAGTCGAAGAAAGAAGTCGAAGACTAGGCACCATAGAACTGGAAAAGGTAGCCTTAAAAGACTCGACGGAGTGTAGCTGCTGGTTGTACACCCCTCCCAAATTCTCTATTCGCGTCATACATGACTTATCGAACGTAGTCACAGCCTCACATGCAGCATTTTCACACATTTCGAAGGAGTATGCTCTTCAAGGGTAGCACATTATTAGTGCAATCCCGACAGTGCGGTTTTAATAGTCCTTCAGGCCAGACAGAGTCTCAAAAGCTCGATCCGAGAGAGATTCCGATCGATTGTTTGATGATCTGTCACACGCAGGAAAATCCAGGAGGGTTGCCGCTTCTGCGAGCTGCCTGTATTCTCGCAAGCCCAACTGTCGCGAGCGTCGGAGAAAAAGGAGTATTTGAATAACTGATGACTATACTGTGGAAGTGTGAGGTAGGAAAATTGTTTGTGTTAGTCTGAGAGTACTACGGAGGAAAGTGTGACTTTGTAGCCCGACGCGTTAAGGCACGTCACATGACCCTTGGCGCCCTGGCGCCCTGTATTTCATGTATAGTAAAGTTTTTTTTAGAAGGAGTTTTTAGATAGCTGGAAGTCTCGGCTTGACAACGATTAATCATGCCAAATTGAGAGTGATCAACGTTCAATACCGCTTTGATCCCGACAGTTTGCCTGAACCTGTGAGCCCGGCAAAGTAAGTGAACGAAGGTTGAAAAGCAACCGCAAATGTTCTCCCGTATCTCTAAAAAAACCAATAATAAAAAACTCCCCCCAAAAATTTTTTTTTTTTTAAATTTTAAAATTTCCCCCCCCCCTTTTTTTTTTTTTTTTTTTGGGGGGTGTTTTAAAAAAAAAAAAAAATTCCCAACCCCCCCCCCCCCCCCCCCCAAAAATTTTTTATTTAAAAAAAAATAATTTTTTTTTTTTAAAAACTAAAAAATTTTTTAATTTTTTTTTTTTTATATTTTTTTTTTTTTTTTTTTTTTTCCTTTTTTTTTTTTTTTTTTTTAAAAAATAAAAAAAATTTGGGGGGTTTTTGGGAAAAATTTTTTTTTTTTTTTTTTAAAAAAAGCATCCGCTGCCGTAGATGCTAGAATATGGACTGGTCGGCGGTAGCGAGAAGAGTATATACAACGCTGGATCTCCTTCTGCTCCCTTTTATGGGTCATTTCAGTCTTCGTTATAAGTGGCGGTGTTTGAGATCCATATAGATATAGTTGCTTCTTCCTTCTGTTCGCGATGTTGTAGACTCCAGTTGCTATTCCCTTCTATGACCTGTAAAATTGTTGATCATCGGCAAGAAAGGTATTGACTAACCAAGAATCCATCAGTTACTATTGACAGTCCTTCGTCGTCATGTAAAGCATCTAGACCCATGTCATCCGTCTTTACGCGGGTTAGCTTCCTACTATAGCGAAAGACAAGATCAAACGGATCTCTGATCTACCACACCGATGATGAGAATAGTGACTCACATGTATGGTTTGATTAGACAATATGGAGCCTGCTCCTGAAGCAGTGGAGGCCGGGGGGAAAGGCTTACTTATATACTCAGAGGACGCAGCTTCTTTCGAAAGTCCTTTTGAACGATCGTTTTGAAGTCTCCACGAAGTATCCGAATCTCCACACCATTTTTCTCATACACAATGGGCCCTTCGTCATCTTTATCGATTAGCAAGGAGCGCATACACTCAGACCTGTGTCATCCTTCCTTAGAAGTTCCCTCGCAAGGAATTCTGTGTCTGTTGTATTCTGCGAGGCTGCGGCGGTGCAAGATCTCGTGTTTTCTGAAATAAGCCACCGAGCTTTCGTTTGATGGATAAGCTTCTATATCATTTTCTAGGTGTGGCTTTCGCTCTTTGTCGTCATCAAACAGTTATTGCAAACATAATACAATGTCAGATCAGATACAAAAACAATTAGATCTTAAAAAGAACCCACCATCATAGTGTCGTTTGCTCGCACGTCACTATTTAGAACAGACATAGTGTGGAAAACTTTAGCAAACCGAATGGACCAATGACGAACGTAATCAGCTGGTTCGATGATCTCACTTCGTGGACCCCATCAATTTGGTTCCATATCAGTGTCAATTCATTTGACACTACTGACCAAAAGAGTTACGCTATGTTAGCAAGTTTACTGCTCATCGAAACTTGTCTGATCTGGCAGTGATAAAGGATGTTTAATCTAAGGGTCGGTACCGTTCAACCTCCAGTGCTATAGTATGGAACCTCCTGAGGTAGGTACGAAAATTCCGAATCTCGATCTTTCTGCCTACCCATTGACTCAAGACTCTGCCGACTGCCAGGAAGGCTACTTCTGAGACCCTTAAGAAACCAGAGAAGCCAAAGAGCCAGGTCAGGCCTTTATGATCCGGTCGACCGCTTTCCATTTGCCCTTGCCCAGGACAAAGTCAGTGCTAGCCTAGGGCCCTTCTTGATCACGAAGCCCATGCCATCTCTAAATGACCACCATGGACCTCTTCTTGACGCGTACATGGAAATCCGACCACCACTGGGGCATTGGGTCCCAAGCTGGGGCTAAGACAGGTATAATTCTGAAGTAGCTTCCTTCAGACGGGGCGTTATCCGAGATCTTGGCGCAGGAGGTCTTGGCATGTGCGAGATTTCCGGTGCAGATCTCTGATTGGCCAGGAAGTTAAACCAACGAGATGCTTGGCAAAATTGATTGCGCGCCATCTATTTTTGGTACCAGCCCCACCAAATTTAATAAGAACCTACTCAATACTGAATCATCAATCATCACCCCCAATCTATATTTAAAGAAGGGCTTAGTGAATAGGCCGAAGAATACTTATTATCACTCTTCATCAACGTATAGCTAATCACCGCCTATGCCAAACCGCCACATGTTTAACCAAAGGACTTCATAAAGACCAGTTATTGCCGTACTGACTCGCAAACGCTTACCATAAACGCGATTCCTCCTTTATACCTATTCGTTAACTCTTCAGAGTTATTTCACTTTACTTAGCCCTCGAAATATCGACTTATAAACCGCGATATCCTACCTCTTTGAAAGTGCTAATTCTCTAATAGAGCCCTTTTAACGTAATATCAGTAAAGCTTCCAGAGCCGTAAGAGCGGCGCCAGTACATATAGATTACGAGGAATTACTATATCGCCGTAAATCTCAATATTACGCTCCCACCGATACCCCGTTACGCGACTTAAATAGGTGTCTTTAGCTACTACATCAGTCGCCATAAGACTCAAGATGTCTGGCTGCTGCGAATTATTTTTTAAATAATATCGCGTATGGGGGAGGGAGTCTAGCGAGCGATATGTATTTTTTAGGTGAATCGCGTATGCGGAAGAGGGGGGACTATAACACCTGGTAAAACACCAAAAAAGATATATACCACTAGCCTATACCTAAGTATCCGATAGAAGTAAGACGAACTAGGATGACTGAGAATTTGAGAAGTAGATCTCTACAAATTTTGTCTCACCAAAAATAAATGCGCAAAATTTCAAATTGTTAATGAAACTACCTCGGCTGCTGCTGTGCGAACGTCTCTCGTTCGCCTACCCTTATGTCTCACTTCTTCTCCAACAACGTTCCTCTCGCTTTGCTTGTCATCATTGTTCTAACATTAAAATGAGCAGTATGTCTGGAGAAAGCAAGATTATGCCACCTAATTGGCACACCACCGACGTCTCATGGTACAAAAAGGACCTTCCAGAGATCAACGAGTCGGCACGAAAGATTTTGGAGCAGTATAGTGGAATCAGTCCTGATGGCATCACGTCGCATCTCCATGAAGTGGTATGCTCACTACGAGAGACCTAACGCTTCTCTGTGGTTGACGGAGAGCCTCAGCGAACACAAGCTTGGAACATCTTCCCCTATCCCTCAATCGGGAACTGGCATTTCCTCCACCTCGGCATCCTGGAGCAACCTCGCTACCCCGAGATCCTCGAACGCTTGCAGCAGGGTCAGAAACTCCTCGACGTGGGGTGCGGATTCGCGCAAGATCTCCGCCAGCTCGTATTCGACGGCGCCCCGGCGGAGAACGTCTACGGCGTCGAGATCGAAAAGCCGTTCGTCGACTTGGGATACGATCTCTTCCTCGACAGGGCGAAGATCCCATCCGCGAACTTCATCGCGGCTGACATCTTCGAGTCGGATTCGGAGGCCAAGAACCTGTTTGGCAGCATCGACATCATCTACGCCTCGCAATTCTTCCACCTCTGGGGCTGGAACAACCAAGTCGAAGCAGGGAAGGCCGTGACAAAGCTGTTGCATCCAGCGCGCAGGTCTCTGATAGTCGGCTATCAAATCGGCGCCATTGTCCCCAAAGAACATCAAAATTCGCCCACGAAGGAGGGGAAAATGTATTTGCACGATCGGACCTCGTTGCAGAAGCTGTGGGGTGAGGTTGGAGAAGCTACGGGGACGAAGTGGATGGTTGAGGCGTGGCTGGACGAGGCGGAGATCTTCAGCAGTTATGTGAAATTAGATAAGGATGTGCGGAGGATTTCGTTTGCTATTGAACGGATGGAATAGATTAGACCTTGGGAAGGGATGGTTATGAAGAGGGATGCCTTCACGTACTGCCCCGTCCTGCTGATAACCACTCGTACGGCCTGGAGTTTGGTTATGGGCAGCCAATAGTCCTGGTAAATTACAGCAACCTCTTCGTTCATGAGCCCACGGTAGGGAGGCTCGCCCCGGTGCCCCATTGTCGGTACTCCGAGAGAGATGAGTGGCTACGGTCTTGCCTTGGTCAAGTCAATGTTAACGAACAGATCTAGCCCCCAAAGGACTTTGTGCAAGTCGTACTGCCAAGTCCTCGCGCTCTCTACGCCCGATCCCGTTGGGATTTGGATCAGGACTCTTGAGAGTGGAAATTGGTATATTCGTGTATTGGTTAAACTACACATTTTCACATGTCCATGCTATGGAGAGGTCTCGTTCAAATATAGTATGGTTAGACTGGGTACACTACGGCCAGGACTCATAGTCCATGTCATGGAGTATACACATCCCCCGTTCTATAACTCCCCAACGGATTTAATCCTCAAACCCACATTCCCGGAAAAAACACACGACGTGAGTTCGTTTTTCCAATCCCCACCGTTGAGGCAGCGGCGAATGGCCGCAAGCATCTACATTGCATAACAATGAAGCAAATTCTCACCACCCGCCTGAATCCTCCCGCGGCTTGGGCACCGTGCCGCAGACTCGCCTCCTGCGGTCCCACCGAGCGGAGCCAGCAAAGTATATCTTGCGGTACGGATAGGTAGCCGGGAGGGCTGATATGTTACAGTTTGATCTAAGCTCTTGCTACTCTTAGCTGAGGACAGATTTACGAGAAGGCTTACTAAGGCACTCAGGACATCATCGTCGACGTCTGGATCTAGTGAAGCGGGGAAAGTTCGCCGTGTTTGACAGACTGGGATTTTCTAGGCAATATCGGCGCCGTCAAATTGCGTGTGTGTGGGCTTGGAGGAGTAGGTATGGCGTTGACAGTTCTCGAGGTTATGGCCCTCGGCGCGGTGATCCGATGTCAGCTAAGGGAGTCGGCAATGTATAGCATAAATGGAGAACGGAGCCCAATTACCGCGCATCAGCGAGACGATGGCCGGAAAGAAGGATTGTTGTCGGATTACAACAAGAACATTTTGAATTCTGTATTGCAAGCTAAGTACAACAGCCGTCGACCGGAAGATTCCTCCTCACGCCAGTATACCAGGTATCAACCCCTCGGTAAACCGCCACAGCAGCGACGAATCATGCGTATGGAACGCCGCCCCGGTATACCACGTGTGCCGCTGCCCCTGCAACGCGTACAACTCCCGATAAAACCCGCCCCGGATCGCCTCCTCCGACACCGTCAGCTCGAACGGCGTGTGGCTCGCATACGCCGCGAACTCCGGCGCCGTCGCGTTCAGAGTCCCGGCGGTGCGCAACCGGAGCACGCTCTCGACGATCAGCGCCTGGACCTGCGCGTCGGGAAGTGCGAGTGCGGAGCCGACTTTGACGTCGTAGAGGCCGGAGACGCGGCTTGGGTAGATGCTGTAGAGCCCCGGGAGGGAGGGGAGGTTGTAGGGTGTGCTGGAGCCGATGTTGGTGAGGGTGATGTTGGAGGGAATGTTGGTGTTGCGGAGGAGGGCGGTGTAGTAGGCGCTGTTGACGAATTGGGAGAATAAGGAACTTTCGTTCGTGGAGAGGTCGAAGCCTTTCAGGTTGTCCGGTTTGGGCGGGATGGTGATGAGGAGCTTTTTTGCGAGGATCAGTTTCACGCCCTGAGGTGTCTGCACTAGGACTTTCACGCCGTCGTCGCCGCTTCGGTCTGTTGCAATGACGTGGCTCTGCAGCAGGACATCCGATCCGAGTTCTGCTCGTGCTTTTTCGTAGATCTCGCTGTTGTCTTGTCTTGCGGTGGTCAAGAAACCGGTTTGCAGAGCCTGCAAGACACCAATGCCGAAGTTCTTGAACACATACAATGTGTACTGATCCAGCAAATTCCCAAGTCCTTGCGCAAAGCTGAATAGGAACCCCACGGCATTCTCGAGGTTGTACTTTTTTACGAAATCACCGAACCGAAGTAGCAGATCCGCAGGCACGGGATACGGGAGATCAAAACCAGCTTCCACATAAGGATATTTCTCCAACTGAGCACCGTACGCTGCCAAAGCGGCCGACGGATCAGGGGGAGCGTACCCAGCTACGATCTTCCCGGTGCTGAAATCCACATATTCAGTCACCTGACCAGGCACCGCGGACGGGGCCACCGTGAGCGGGATGTCGAATCTGGCGAAGTATTTCTTGACAACGTCGAGATTCTGGAAGTATACGACGCCATAGTCGACTGTTTCGTTGGTACTAGGGTCAGTATAGGTGTTTGTGTGGCCGCCCAGTCTGTCTTTGGCTTCGACGACGACGACGGTCTTCCCGGAGTCGGAAAGGCGGATAGCGCTGTAGGTACCCGTGGAGCCGCCGCCTATGATGCAGATGTCGCGGGTGATGACTGCGGAGGCGGGGTAGGCTGTCGTGTTTACTTTGGGAGGAGACGCGGTTATGAGGTGTGAAAGGGATGCGGCTAGGAGGAAGAGCTGGAAGAGGGCCATTGGTGATAGTTTGATTTATTATTTGTGAGGGAATTATCCTTCTCAGAGCAGGTCGAGAATCTAAACTCTCGTTGGAGTCTTGTTTGCACGAAGATGTAGATGCTGCTTGAGAATCAACACAATATCCCTCTACTTTTCCAAGATGTTTCATAGATTCGATCAAAGAGCGTTGCGCGCTTTTACTCTCACCTTCCTTGTCTGAAGACCTCGAATCGGCATCTTCCAGACGCACTAAGGCCTGTCAAGGAACCCCGGGCCGTCTCTGGGAATGCTCGATCTTCCTTCCCATTCGGGCTAATTACTAATTCATACCCCGAAACTATGAATCCTTACCGAATCATACCCCTAATTACTTGGGGTATGATTCGGTAATTTGCCATTCATGATAAAAATCGCAAAGGAGAAAATTCGCGACCTGGGCCATCCGACCATAGAAAAGAGGAAATATCTCCGACCGTATTTAATGGGTGACCTACCAGCTTAAATACATCGGACGAAAGCCGAGTGCTGCGACAGCCCTACCGGGGCCCTATTTGGTTCAAATAGGGGTGTCTGGCTGTCAAGCGCAGATACCCCGGGACCAGGCTTTTTGGCTTGACAGCCAGACACCCCTACCGAATTAATTGACTTGTAAGGTGTATTTCTTATAAGTAGTATCGATATAAAGTATGGTTCCAATGACTGTTTTGAAACCACTGGAGGTTTGGTCATATAAAGTAGGTATTTCTGGGACGGTTATATATTACTTAGTCATCTATATAGCCAATCAGTACCCCTTTAGTTGCATGCTTCTCCACCACTATTCATTATAGAGCCTCTTCGTCGTAGTTCATATAGTAGATAGGCTCGATATCTATAGAAATAGACTTATTAAATAAAGGTGATACGATTGAGGTAGTAAAAGTAGTGGAGTAGCTGAGTTGAGGTATTGATGAAGAAGATATCTAAGAAACACGTCTTAACGCGGATTAATTTGATAAATAACACGCTATTTATTCCTATTTCTCAGCTTACTAACTAGCGGCGACATGTATAAAGTCCTACTGGCATATAACGCTGTTTTGCATATAAAATACGGTTATAGTGGTGGCAAATACCATCGACACCATATAAAACTGCTACCTTATAAGTCAATTAATTCGGTATTTGAACCTAAATAGGGCCCTAAATAGGGCCCCAGGGCCGTCGCAGGGCCCCCGTGGGGGCTGCTGCTAACAGTGGGCTAAATTTGGCCCCCAGCCTGTCTACACCCAGTCTGTGACTCTCACACAGTCTTCACTCCCAATAGTCTACACAGCAGTTTGGTATTACCGAATCATACCCGATTATCCTGCCGAATCTACCCAATTTTGATGTGGGGTATGATTCAGTATTGGGTTGATTCGGTAAGGATTCTAGTTTCGGTATGTTCGGTAATTAGCTCCTTCCCATTCGCAAGACGGATAATCTCAAACCCTCGACAAAAATTTCCTCATGTTTTCTCGTTTCCGAGCGCATCCATCCATTCGGACTGACTGCCACTTTCGGGCTTATGATGGAGGATATGGCGTGCTTGGCGTGCATGAGAAGTGTTGGCAGGGTCCTTCCCCGCAATTCTAGAGCGTCTGTGCATGCAGGATGCATGATACATGCATAGTAAACGAATACGAGCATCCAATGATAAATTTCAATCCAGAATATGACAGCAAGGATGTACGAAACCCGCACAACCCTGGATCGAATTTGCTCTGAGATGTTGTTATCAAGTAACTTTCCATCAACCCATATTGGAGGTACCTACCTAGGTGGCATAGCCATCGATCGAGAGCACTGCTCGTTACTCAGAGTCTAAAGCACGAGAGCCAGTTCGTCGTGCCGATCGAGTATTCCGCACCGGTGCTGTAAGGATCAATATCCTTTTTCCCTTGTCAAGCGTCCCCGCTATCGAGGCCAACCATCCATCGTAAAATCGCGCAAGTGTCATCCAATCGTTCTAGAGAAGTCGCCTCCAAGGAATTGCAGGGCCGTTCACTGCATTTCATAGTTCCGGCGGGCATGATGTTCGAGACCGTGTGTCTATCACACTTGGCGCGAAGAAGGCGAACGAGGGCATGCCCACGACGTGCGTGCTCATAGGGATTGAAATGCTCCTTACATCGGCTTCTGTCGCCCAGGTGCTGATGGTTGGTGGGTGGCGAGTTGGCTTCTTACACACACGCAAAGATAGAGGAGGCGAGAAGACCGGACATCGCCTGCTCCACTTCCGACGCATCCTTCTTCGGAGAATCTACGATCTCTGCCCTTAACTTAGCTTGCAAGTGCTTGCCCTTTCACTAACGAGCAATGGCGCCGGTCTGCCTTCTTGTCAGCTTGCCACTCTCTCCAAGCCGATTCTGTGAAATTGCTCATCGATTCTGTCGTCGCACCAAGGCCTTCCATGTCCCTTCTCCCCCGACGTGACGCCACTGATTGTCGTCCTGGATTCCTCCTCGGTGGTGCATTGCACCATCGAAAAGAGGCACAGAGCAGGCCGGACGCCACGCCTTCGCGAGCTCTCTTGCCAAGTCCGCACCAAGATGAATAAATTTTTTGAGCGGTCTCGAAGCCCAGTTCGAAGTTGGCGCTTGTAAGAAGAACATTGCGACCGTTGAACGAAGGCTTTGTAC